AGACTTTTCACCAGAAACAAAAAGTTTGTGAAATTAATTTTCATTATAAATGGTGGTGTACATGTTTATACTCCCTGTGTATTTTCAAAGGAAATTTGAAACATCACAGTACATCATCCTAAATGTAAATAGAGTAACTTGTGTTGCTGAATGCTTGAGAGCAGTAGAACTATTTCCTGTTTGAGAGTTTCTTTGTAGTTCCTCACCTCTTGGGAGAATGCAGAATGAGCTTGCTGCTCACAACTAGGCCATGCCCATACAAAACAAGTAAGAAGCATACTACAATCTTAGCCACAGCTTTGTTTCCAGATATGAACAGGACATGATTATGAGCAGGTCATAGTATTTTAGAATTTTAAAGATTGCAGAGCTCATTTTTCTATGGTTGTATTTCATGCAATGAACTACTTGGGAATAATTTTTTTCAGAAAAAAAATGTCCTGGATAAAATGGAGATGGGAAAGGTGTGCCTCCAAGTGGCTTCTTCTTCTTACTCTTACTCCAATCCATTTCACCCTAACTTAAACCTGCAAAAAACATGACCCTGATTCTTCTAGTAACTTTGTAGTGGCCCTGATACCTTCCTACAGCAGTCTAGAACTTTGAGGATCTTGAGTTACAATCATGACCCCTCAAACATTGCTTATCCCTGAACCAGTAGAGGCAAATATATGCTGTCCAGAGATGTTATTCTAGGGTTGTTGTTTTTTTGACATATTGCAAAATAACAAACTCTTTTACTTGTATTTACTCAGTATTTAAATCTGCGTCAATGCCTTTTATATCTTGAGAGCATTTGAAAATCACATAACCCACCATAATGATTGGAATTCTATACTTTGATATATCACTTATTGTAATATTGCAATTTATGAGCATTATTTTCCATCCCATCCCTCGGTAATTGGTGAAAATGGAAACTCCATTTGGGTCCCTGCTGCCATTTATAGAGCAGTAACATTTTCATTTCCTTTTGGAAATGAGCAGTTGCATTAGGAAATAAAGATGGCAGTTCTCAGCACCATTTGGAAGTGACACTGCTCAATGGGGTTAAAAGAAATGGAGATATAATTAATAAGCAGCAAAGGAGTGATGATAACACAGGATAAAACAAAAACTGCACTTTTATAAAAAAAAATCACTGTTAATGATTTTATTTTTAAAGTTTAAAGTTGGAATGTTTTAAAAGTTGTTACATATACAGTATGTATATAGGTTAAATAGCTTTCTGGTTTTTCTATGTTACTATTCAATAAAGGATTGTAAACTTGAAAAGAAGAAATATATATTATAGATAAAACTACATGGTAAAAAAAGATAAAAACCATACACTAAATTGCCTATGAAGGGAAAAACAAGAGAAAAATATATATTTAGAAACAAAAAGAGGAGAAAAAAGCTAAACAGAACTGAAAGCAAATGAAACTAAATTACATAGATAAAAAAGAAAAATGCATCATGTTATTAAATGGTATAACTTTTTCACATTTATCTTGGGATTCAGTTTTCCAACTGAATTATAGCTAGGCCATATAGAATCATATTGACCAGTTTGCGCCTCTCAGCATAAAGCTGAAATTTTGTATTCTGATACACAGTAGATTTTGCAATGATCATTCTTGATGTTTTAGATAAAAGGTTACGTGTGTGTGTGTTTGTGTAGTAATTGTAAACAAATTGACAGCTGAGCATTTTACTGGCTAAAATTTATGAAGGGCATTGGATATTTTTAAAGGTGCTCTGTGTTGCTGGAATCACAGTAGTCTATTACAATATTCTAGGAAAGATAAACTTTTATGTTTTCAGAACTATCCTTTCTGAGATCAACCCTTATGAAAATATGAGTACGCAGATTTATAATAATGAGAACATCACTCACAAGTTCAACCACATGAATGATCGGTTGAATGGTCAGCTGAGCTGAATGGGGTTTGAGGAACAATATATTCAACATAAAAATACACCATCATTTGGCTTTTTAAAAAGCAAAAGGAAAAGTGTTTCACTTTTTGTCTTGATCCAAAAAGCCCATATTACTGGAATCAATCCATACTTTCTTGCTGTATCACACTGCAATGTTTTGTAACAGCAAAAACAAGCAATAAACCTGCCACAGGATTATAGCAAAAGGGAACAGTAGTTTCCCTGGCAAGTGGCATGTATTCCCTCTCCTGTAACACATTAAGAATGAGATCAATGTGACTTTCCCTGCCTTCAGCAATATCAGTATTTTGCCAGATCTGATTCACTGTCATGTCATAGTTAAGTTTATTAGGTGTGCTAAATCAGCAACAAAAGGAGAACAATCTGTCCATAAAGACCTGGCTCTTAAACACAGATAGGGGAGTTAATTTCAAGGTTTGCAAGTCATATGAAATCTATTTAATTGCCTACCAAATAAGAAAGGAATGAGAGCCATTTTGATGTAGTGGTTAAGGCATCAGGCTAGAAACTGGGAAATCATAAGTTCTAGTCTGCCTTTGGCACAAAAGTGTCTGGGTGACCCTGGGCCAATTAATCTCATCCCTAGGAAGGAGGCAGTGGCAAACCACTTTTGAAAAACCTTTCCAATGAAAGAAAACCCTCTCAAAATTAACATTAATGCAGTATATTTTTTAAAACAGTTGCAAGCTTTTACATTTCCAAAACCCTTGGGTTTTTTCCTCCTTCCCATTTATTGTTACCTTAATTTTTAGCTCTTCTCTAATGTAACTTCGTCACAAGAAATACTTTCAGTTAACCTTAACACAATTATTGATTCATTCTAGGTTCTCCCCCCACACACACCTTTATTTCATTGAATATTGTATAACAAAGAATTGTAAAGATAGTCAAAGAAAGAGTTGGGATATACTATCTATTACCTTATCTTGAACCTATTGTGTTACATCCAAATTTTATGTGATCAGATGAAATTTATTTTTTATTCATTGATGCAAACATATTTATGCAGCCTGGAATGAATTCTGAACTAACTGTAGATTCACATAATACTTGGCTTATGCATGAAGCATTTTATTATTGCATAAGGAGGAATTTACATTAAAGTATTAATGTGATCATATAAACTGTCATTTAAAATACATATTTTAGGGTATCTTATTTCATGCTTTCAAGGATGCTGAGATTAGGAATGAGTTTGTATGTATAAGAAACAAGAAAGCTTTATTTCCATTGGTGAAAAGATCCTTTATTTGAGATTGAAAGCTTAGTTGTCCTTCAAAAACACAGTCCTATTGATCACTTTAAATTGAATCTATCTCCATTACAATCATACTGGCTTTTTGTTTGCACAAGTGTGCTTAAAATAGCTAGATAATACATTTCTCACTTTTAAGAATTTAAAAGTGGGTTATACTAGCCTAGATTTCTACATTTTGCCTTCCATATTTCCATTGGCTTTTTAAGAAAATAGATACCACATATACTCAGTGGCAATTTCTCAGAAAATTAAATATAAGGAAACAACGTTCTGTTGGTTTTCTGCTTATATAATGGTTAAAATGTTCAAAAATTAAATGTAAAGTTTAAATTAAAAACTTAAAGGCCACTTTCATCAAAATGCCTAACCTTTAACCAATCATCTTTGCTTTATCTCTTTGTGCTGCTGATCTGGCAAAATAATCTTTGAACAATATCAATAACTGATTATACTGTGAGTTTTTAAAAATTGATCATATCTTCAGAAACCAGACAATGAATAAAAATAGACCTCCAGGAAAAAAAAACATTTGTTAGATGGTGCACATGTCACAACTAAGCCATGCATTGACAAACATCATCTTAACAGCTGTCCTTCCCTATTGAGAGAAAAGGAAGAATTATTGCCTGTTATTTTGAAGGAATGTTTGAAGAAGTGTTCAAAAATAATTACCTTAATTGGGAGTTATCAAAATAAATTCATATATTCTAATTATTCTTTCATCTACAATAATGTAAAATGAACACATTTATAATTTGTAAAAACTGGAATTTGAAAGTGCAGTTCAATTCTTAAGATTCCAGCTATACTTCACTTCCAGTCCCAACAGTTGACCCAAGTTCCTGGTGATTGTATACATTGCCAAAGTATATTTCTGAATAAGACTATTCATTTGGAATATTTTTTGTTAGAAAAAGTATTGATAGGTTACTAGCATTCATGTTGACAGTACTAAAAAACTTGCTTATATGTATGGTCAAAGCTTTGAAACTTTTCCCCTCAAGGAGTCTACACGGCTATAAACAAGGGACATGTAAACTTTTCTTTATTCAAAATAAAACCAATTTCTGAGTTGAATGTAAAGAGATGAAAATGGTTATATTTTTTGTCGTAGTAGATTGTTATTTCACTTCTTGTGTAAGAAATAGTATTAGTTTCTTTGCCTTGAATTAATTGCTTGGCATTCTGTAGAAGCAGAATTACAATTACTTTTATTTATCATATTTGTATAGCTGCTCATATGATATGACTTTTAAGCTTTGATTTAATATTTGATTGGATATTTATCTAACAAACTTCAGATACAATGGACAAATGTTTTATGTTTCATCCCTATGTCCGCCCTTTAAATTCTGACTTCTCTGCAAATGATGTCATCTAAGTCAATTGCATAATAATAAAAAAGAACAAATGACATAAATTTTAAAAGCTGTTCAGATTTAAGATACACCCCTTCCCCTGAATATTCTGTTAAATTGAAATTTTATTGTGCCATATTTAGCTGAGTGGTTAAGAATAAGTGTGGTTTGAGATTTGAAATACCTGTTTTTTTCAATGTTTTGTACATTAAAGTAGAATTAAGTAGTTTATTTCTGTGAACAAAACTGATTGTAACACCATTGTAAAGAGATATATAGTCTTTCTTCCATGCCTGTACTTTCCCCATATGCTCAAAATTTCCCAATCCTCTGCAACGGGAAAGTGCACAATATGAATAGCAAAGGAAGCTTCCCTCATATGTATTCCATTATTTTATTGCAGGATAACTGAAGATAAATAATCTTTTTCTTGGTTCCAGCTTTTTCTTATTGTAACATGGAATTTTGAGCTGTACATGATTCCACTGATCTTGTTGCTGCTGTTGGTGTGGAATTACCTCTTGGTCATATCAGGAAAGGATAATCGGCCACATGATACTGTAAGTCTTTTTAAGCATATATTTGTGTATATTTGTTAACAAAAAATCTTGGGAGTGGAACTTTTTTTCAAGGTCTTATTTCAGTGTCTGAAGGTTTAAAGGATGGGCAGGCTTAAGGAAGAACTGCAACTTGAGTCTTTTTTCTGTTAGTCCAGCATTTTAACCACTACACCGTGCTAATTCTCTCAGAGGAGGAACATATAATGAATTTACAATAAAAAGTTCTTATTCTCATTGCCTTCAGCTAAGTTCCATAGAATTTTGGCACTGTTTTTAGTATAGAGGACTACTGCCCTTTCTTTGAGCAACTAGACAAAAGAGCACAACATTCTTTTCCACATTTGACCTCCTTATTTTTCTTCAAGAAGCGATCCAGAAAATGTCATTTTTTTCACACATAATTTTCCCTGGTGTATTATAGAGAAGAACTTGTTTTTTCACAAACTTAAAACAGGAGACGTTTAGTTCCAAGCACATATCTATCATCAGATTTTCAGCACAATGCTAGCCTGCTAGATTTCTCCTCCCTCCACAAAACAATCAAACAAAGACCCTTCCTGCTTTTGTTTTCCCAAGTTACCTAGTTTTTTCCCCACAATCTGCCTAGTGGCAGCAAAAAATGAGCATGGCAAAAGAAACTTGCATTTTGTATTATCTTCATCTGATAGTTTCTTAGTAAATCATGAGAACGTGCCAAATTTAACTCTGGTTCTTTAATCTGTTCACATTGATGGAATTACTGTTTAGCTATTGTTGTTACATAGTACACCATGTTTAGAGACAATATCTATAGACTACTATGAGCATTATCACAAAAGATTATCTTTTAATAAAGACTTGATTATTGTGAGAGTATGGGAGGCAAGAAACAAGGCTAAGGAATATGTTGTTTTTCCAAGACTGTTATAGTCTTAATTCCCCTTAACAAACTAATAAACATTAAGGACAAGTAAATGCAACATTTCAAAAAGATGATGCTAATAGAATATCCCTGTTACTTAATAATCACAGTTTCTTGATCACTTGTAGTATAACATCTTTCCAGAGAAGTAGCTTCTGGGAACCTTGTGATTAAGGCAAGCAAATGGTTGAGAGGTTTTATGCGGAGGTTTGGCAGGAGGATTGAGAATGAGAGATTCCAAACAATATAATAGCAGAGAAAGTGCTGTGATGATCTTATGAGATATGCACAATACTTATCCTTCTGCCTGACATAACACAAACTGCTATAAGTGCAAGGTTTTAGTACAGAGTTTCTACGTTACAGCCCACCAGGGAAAGTGAGACGTACTGGATAAAACAGGCAAAATTCTTCAGAGAGACAGAAAAGGGAAGTGAATTCCAGGGAATGCAAAACAGAAGAGAATTGAAAGCATGTGATCTGGAAAAGAAAGAGGATTATGAGATACACAGTATTGATGGAGCTCAATAATTGTTATTGTACTCTTTCCCTCTAGTAGATAGCCCACAGCTATCTGGGCAACCTTTGCCAACCATAACTTCACAGAACACAGTGAAAGACTCACAGATCTCCATGGTTCAAAGAAACACAAGAACTAATTGGTGGAAGAGCAGACATTTCATGATGGTTGGTAATTACCTGATGATGGATAATTCCCTGCTGAAAGGAACTAAAGCTTCAGAATCCTGGAATTGAATAGGAGGGTCTGTCAAGGTGGTGCTCCTGAGAAAGGTTTATGTTTTTTCACCATAGGCTATACAGCCCCACAAAAGCATTTTGGCAAAAGGGAAGCTACAAAGACTGTGATGGGTATTTTTGGCACCTCACTAATTTCATCAGGGGCCCGTTAAACCAGAATGAAAGAACTTATACAAAAGTCAAGAACTGAATACACGTCCAAGTTTCTTGACAACAATGCAAGAAACAAAAGGAAAAGCATATAGGTAGAGAGGGATCGTTGGCAGGAACCATAGCAATAAAGCCAGCAGGGGCACCATCACCATTTCAGATGTTCCTACAGCAATGAACACAATGTATGGCAAATATAGAGAATTCGGAACTCTAACAAAGGAGGGTATACATAATGTGATGAGCATCACAGAAACTTGGTGAAATGACACAGATGACATTTATTCAAAAAGAACAGATCCGGCAGAAATGGAAGAGGTGCCGTGGTTAGACAAAAAGCACATGCTTGCACAGAATGAATAAGTTAGAACCTGGAATCTTGTTAAGAATGTTTGATAAGGTAACCGGGATGTTGGGAGGAGATGACTACATTATCCTTGAATTCATGATATCAAGGGGAGGGGAAATAGACAAGAGCCAGACTTGTGCATTGGATTTCAAAAGAGCAGATTGTAATGAATCCAGAGCCAATGACACGAAATACTACAGCAATACAGGGTAAGATGAGGATATAAAATTATTTGAACGAAGATTGTGAAGGTGCCTGAACGAACAATATCAAATAAAAATGGTGGATGTATGAAGAAAACAGTATGGAATCCCACAGTTTGCTAAAGTGCTGAAAAACAAACCAAAAATGTTAGTAGGGGAACATAACCAAATAAGAATATAAAGCAGTTATCAGAAACTATAGGGACTGTGTCAGTAAAATGTAAAGCTAGAATATGCAGAGGCTTGGAAAAATATCCCAAATAATAAAAAGGCTTAATTGGGTATGCAGCAAAAACAAAACAAGAGGAAAAGGGTCTGTAAATCTCTTACAGAGAGGAAGGGGGAAATGGATGATATCAGGAAAGCAAAATATTTTAACTTGTGTTTTACATTTGTCTTCTCTCAGAAGAGAGGCAAAGCTCTAGGAGGCAACCATGGGTGATGCACAGGATACATAAGGGGAAAGTAAAAGAACACTTAGGAAAACTTGCACTAAGTAAGGTCTAGTTAACCTCCACATCTGTGATTCTGTATAATCAATGGCTTAGTCAAGTTCCTATCTGATTATGACAGGTACACCCAGTTTGATTTCATTTACTCTTTACACATACATTGTGCTATAGTATAGCATATTTTGAAGTCCTATTCATGCACTGTATCTCAATAAAGGTAAAGGTTCCCCTTGGACATATGTGCTAGTCATTCCCGACTCTAGGGGGCGGTGCTCATCTCCGTTTAAAGCCAAAGAGCCGACGCTGTCCAAAGATGTCTCTGTGGTCATGTGGCCAGTATAACTAAACGCCGAAGGCGCACAGAGCAGTGATTTCTATTTTTCTACTTGCATTTTTTACGTTTTAACTGCTAGGTTGGCAGAAGCTGGGACAAGTAACAGGAATTCACTCTGTTATGCAGCACCAGGAATTCGAACCGCTGAACTGCCTACTTTTCTGATCGACAAGCTCAGTGTCTTAGCCACCAAGCCACCGCGTCCATCTGTATCTCAATACTACATGTCATATAGGTTGCTTGATTTACATACATTAGTCCACACACCAGAAATTATGAGAACAGTGGAAAAAACCCTCTGATTCTCCAGAAGTCAGACTGAAAATCATATCATCCCTACCCAAGGATGTATTAGGGATGGTGGTAGGATTGATAGTTAAAGAGATGTCATAGATTCCACTTCCAGCCATAGAGCAAGAGCTTATCTGACTCCTGATGTTTTGTTCATGATTGGGAGATCAAATATGACCTTCACATTATGCCACTGGAAAAACACAAAAAGCCCCACATAGTTTGTGCAGGTGCAAAACATAATCATAAAGAGTTTTATTCACTAGCCTTTATGACAACCAGACAACCTCTTTCTGTCATTATAAACTCAAATACCAAGGTACCAGATATTCTAATGTTAAATTTATAGTGGTAACAAAACAAAAACATCTTTTCAATGCTTTGTATGAGAAATATATTCAACTGATTAAATCAAAATTTCTACTGAAGTATTTAAATATCAGGTTAGGATTTCACTTAGTAAACTGCATGTCATCTAAAATGTGCTTATTTTAGCATTTATTTATAATCTAAAGGTTAAATAAATCTGAATCTTGAGGGTTATTTCTGCAAAAAGTTTAGAACTCTTAGATAGACCAAAGTTTAACTATTTAATGATATATATAAGGCTTCACTTCATTGCAATAGAATCTAAGCTGATTAAAAAAAGCAGATAGCTAGCTAGATAGCTAGATAGCTAGATAGCTAGATAGATAGACAGACAGATAGATAGATAGATAGATAGATAGATAGATAGATAGATAGATAGATAGATAGATAGATATTATTTTATTAAATGTAATAATGTGTGTTTTGTGTTCTTGCTTACCAGCTACTCATTCAGTGACCATTCAAATTACTTTATGGCCAATTTCTGACCATATCCAAGATGACTTCCCTCAATCATGTGATTGCATTATAATCAATATGCATTGACCTATGCCTGATTCTCCCCCCCCCAAATGCATTGACCTATGCCTTTGTTCTCCTCCCACCAAAAAAATCAGCCTCCCCACCTCTTTCCAGAGCATGTAGATTGGAAAGGGATATCAAGAGAGCAAGCTGTTTGTTTTTTTCTGACATAGAAAGCAATGCAATCGCACTGGCAACAGGAAAGGGTCAGGCAAAGGAGAGATTGCTTATAGAAATTGCTTGCTTTTTTCCTCTTTCCCATCCTCTCTGAACAGAGAGATTGGAGAGGAAGATATTTTAAGAAAGTGCTGTAAGCTGTTTGTGTAGCACACTACAGATCCCAATAGTGCAAACATATTGCTTTTTATGTGCACAAGAGCAAAAGCTTACTCTTTTGCAACCCCCCTCCAAAATTTCAGCTCTGTGCATAGAGGGAGAAGGAGTCTTGCAAAGGACAGATTGCCTACAGAATTCACTTGCTTTTTTCCCCTCCCCCCTCTGCAGAGCAGAGAGATTGTGGAGGGGATTTCAAGAGAGTACTGTAAACTGTTTGGGTAGCGCACCTGTAGCTTCCAGTCCCCAGCTGCTGGTGCAATTAGATTGTTTTCAATGTGTATAGGTCAGTAAGCATGGGCTTTTGAATATTCCAAAGATTGGAGCAGTTGTTAAGATGCAAACAAAAGCTGAAGGTGTGCAGTCTTTCAGCAGGAGTGCATAATCACAACCCTCTTATTTCCCACTTAGCGACTGTTTGACTTAGAGGCAGAGTTGTCACATTCATTTAGGATAATTAAGCAAGGGCTACCTGTATATGATTTGTAATGCATGAAATGCATTATTAGGCCCATGAAAGAACGTTTTAAGTATTTGCTTAAAATTGAAGAATTAGTGTTAAAGAGCCGGCATGAATAAACGCCGAAGGTGCAAGGAACGCTGTTACCTTCCCACCCAAGGTGGTTCCTATTTTTCTACTTGCATTTTACATGCTTTTGAACTGCTAGGTTGGCAAGAGCTGGGACAAGTAACAAGAGCTCACTCTGTTATGTGGCACTAGGGATTCGAACTGCTGAACTGCCGACCTTTCTGATCGACAAGCTTAGCATCTTAGCCACTGAACCACTGCATCCCTATTCTGTAATTACTTGAACTATATTAAGAATTGCTTTCCAATTATTGTTGGCCATTCTTAGTTTTATAGATTATCAAGTGCAATAACTTTTGAATAATATACAACTGGATCAGCTTTCAGAAAATGTTTAAACTTGGATTCATCTAATGACTGTGTTGTGAAAATGACCATATAAACTAATTAGTGTATTGTCAACGAGCGTATGAAATGTGAGAATATTCAGTTTGGCCTAAACTACTTTCTCATGACCTAAAATCATCTGAGAAGTTTTATATATTCTGTTTAAACTGTGCACATTTAATTATTTTATTTTATAATTACATACAAGCACTGTAAATCAACTGATAGGCAAACACATATTGTGCTTTGATTGTACAGAGAGAACCGGGAAGAATGTAAATAAACTCCAGCTTCTACCCGAATGCCTTTAATAGTTTATAGAATATGGATGTTGATTTGGGATGCAGTTCTGTTCTTATTGTTGATTCAAAGAATAGGAGAAAAAAGGGGAGAAAGCGAAGGGTTCAACTCTGCTTATAATGCCTAATCTATATTTTTGTTATATAAAAATAGCTTGATTGGAAGTTTGGGGGAATAGTTTTGTAAATACAGTGCAATTCATGAACTACAATGTGTATTGTGAGATTAAAGAGAAATCATAATAAAGAATTCGCACACACACACACACACACACACACTATATGGAGTCAACTTTCACAGGCTCCTAATTGTCATCTGTATTCATATATTAAACATGGATCTACCCCTGAAATCAGGTCGTTAAGTAGCTTCTCCTCTTATGTGGCATATACAGCAGTGACAAGTGACATTACAGAAGGTCATGTCACTTTTAACTGCTCGCATTAGAGCTTTCTGATTTCCCTGGTGCTTTCCTTTGTTTGATTAATACTATTAGGTTGTGAAATGCAGACAGCAATTTTTTTTAATGGAAGAAATCTAGCCATTTTATGAAAGTTTATCCTGTTATATATTTATATGAATTATTCAAATGTTATGTTACATGATAGATCCAAAAGACTGAGAATGGCCAACAAAAATTGGAAAACAAATCTAAATAGACCAAGTAACTATGGAATAAAATAGACACTTAACATGCAAAAACTGTGATCTAAAACTTCCACATGATTGTTTTCTATGGCACACACATTATTTGAACAGAAAGTAGAACCAAGGATAACAGAAGGGGCTATTGGTTTCTCACCTAATAGCATAGGTTTTAAGTTACTGTTTGTAATAGACTGCTTCCTAACTTAAGCCCTGGGATTCATGAAGCATTTCCAGATTCTGCTTTAGTATTTATAGTAAAATATAAACATTTCATTCCTGCTCCAACATTACCACAACTAGGAGCTACATTAAAATCCATTTACCTTTAGCAACCTATGGAGCCTTTTGATTTTCCAAGGGAAGCATAGTGGAATATTGGAAAAAAACATTGCTAGAATGAAAATGTAAATTTTAAATTAATATATCAAGTCATGTTTTTAACAGAATGTATTAGACTGCCAAAATACACACGAAAAGCTAATATATCAGGATTTATTTTGTACTCACTTGTTTTGGGAGTACAGTCATGTGAGTAGCTCATGTATCTGCAATGAATTCTCAGGGTACTTTAAAATCAACCTACATTTCCCCGCTTTTTGTCCTTGCCATCTGCAACCAAAATACACACAGTAGAGGTAGTTCTTCCCTGCCTCCTACAGTGAACAATCACAATTATGATGGTGATAAAAAAAAATAACCCAATCCTTGCATGTAGGTCTGCAAAGCAAAAGAAAGCTGAAGTACAGTTGTGGTTTCAGTTAGTGACCGCTTCATTTAATAACCAGGTTGCCAGTCCCAATTGTGGTTGTTAAATGGGGACTAACTGTAATTTTTTTCCATAGCTGGATGTAAGCGGTGTGGCTTCATACCGTCTGCATTCCATTGCTTTCCCTGAGATAGGTCATTTGAAAAGGGAAACTGGGATGCAAGCAAGGCAGGCTATCTCCAATGAAAAGCATTGCATCTATAAGTGCAAGATGGATCTGTATTTGTTGCACACACAATGAAAATTGCAATACTTTACCAGCAATCTTGTCATTTTAGACACACACACACCATTTAAAATCCTAAATTGCATAACAGAAGAAAACACATTATTGTTTGTTTGTTTTATGTTTTTGTTTTAAGTTTATTTATATGCCGCCTTTTTCCCTGGGGGGACTCAGGGCGGCTTACAACTTAAAAGGGGTGGGGGGAAACAAACTT